GACGTCTCTGTTACCAGCTTTGCAGCTGGCCCTAGCGGTAGTCAAATCATGCAGCAAATCAATGTGTGAATGTGTGTGTCTGTTGGTTAAGTGGTGTGTAGCTAAAAACATTCTCACGACCTCTAGTACATGTCGTGACTTAAACATAAGAACATATTATGGCTAAGGCTACAGTTATACACATCATAATAATAATATTAAACACCCTGTCTGCTGACAGTCATCAACTCTTCTCTCTAGTTATCCTTGACCAGATGTACCCTGTAGAAACTCATAAGCAGGCCTAAGCATTTAACAGTCTAACTAGACATCCTATCTCCACTAAACATTTCTAATACATAAAGTATCTATCCAATATCTATCTGACTAAAAATACCTAACACCATACAGTCAGTGGTCTCTTTAAAATTTGTTTGTAGTTTCACTGGTTGACACTTGACATATGGTGCAATATGTTCTAGATCAGCCGTACAGATTATGAATCATCCAGGTCTTTGTATATCTGAGGTGCTAAAGTTGGCAGCTGAACTTGCTTAAGATACTAGAAGGTGCTTCGCCCCTTATCTGAGAAGGTTCTTCTTCTACGTCCTAAGGCTTTTCAACTTCCTGTCTTGACTCCTGTGACCCCAGTGACACACATGATGGCTGGGTAGGTCAACAACTCCCAAGATATTAACAACTACACAGAGGATAAATGCCTGGGACTCCCCACCAGTCAGTCAGAACTGAAGAAGGTTCCTGGATGAGAAATGTCTTCAAGAATCTCAAACAAATCAGTGCCAACTTTAGCACATCGGATATGTTCTAGATTGGTAATTTATATCTTCCTGAACTGCTAACAGATTAATTACAGTACCTGTTTACTGAGGGCTCTCTGACTTTCAGCAGACTTATTAGGCTGTGTGTTATGTACTGTATGTGTAGCTGTAAAGCAGAAAGCTGATTCCAATTAATTGCCGTGTACTTTGACTTTAGACATGAGGCATGAGCTTTTTTGGACTTCTCACCTGCCTCAAGCTTATGAATATCTCCAAGCTTTTACATGAATCCTGTTTTTATTGCTTAGCTCTCACATCCCTGTTGATGCTGACCTACACTAAAACAATATATACAAATAATAGCAGTTCTACAAAATGTTGTCATGGTAGATTTTTTATTTCATTTTGCAAAGAAATGACTTCTTCATTTACTGTTGGTTTGATTGTTTAAAGCCTGGAAGGCTACAAATTCATCTCTCTTGGATGAAGGCACAAATATTAAATATGAAACATGATCACACTGGACATGTGTGAACTGAGGGCAGACAGCTAGTAGCTGAAAACCCTGTTTATTTCAATCAGTGCACCTTTTTGTCTATAATAATTTATATAATATAATTGATGTAATTATTATATAAATAAATAGCATCTCTGTCTTAACCTCAGTGTTATTTTTATTTATATTGCATTAATCTTTAAGAAATTGTTTTGACTGTATCTTGATTGCATTGAAATGATTTTATGATCATAAGCCACATAGAACCACTAACATAAAATTTTATTGTATTATGGTTGTATTAGTGATCTCTAAAGAGAAAAATATTACAATAAATAAAAATGTAGAGAGCGTTAACATGATAAAATATACCGACCTTCAGTGTTTACTCTCAGAGACAACCTTGAGCCTATGTTAATTGAATGAGACTGGTATCCCTTCTAACATGCGCCCTGGCTCTCATACAATCTACTCAACACCTCTGAATTGTCTACAAGGTGTGAATCCAATTTGTGAGGACTGAAGATTAGCGGAGGGCCAAACCCCTCCGGTTTAACAGCTTGTTGGTGACAATTTTTGGATGGTAAGTAATCAGATAAACACAAGCTCCTTGTTCTGGAAATCCCACATGTGGGAACTGGCATAGTTACTAAGCTATGTGGCAGATGGTTCCTGTTTGTACATCCACGACACCATCATGCATGGTTGTATCATTATTATACCACAGGTCCCTTCTTATCTAGTGTCAACATTTTGAATGCTTGATTAAAAGAAATACTATTTGCTCTGCAATAATTGTAAATGAAATAAAACACTGTACTGTATATTTCAATTACTTTAAACCACTAAGCCAGACTTACTCAGAGTGGGATGCGTATTTTAGTTGTTTAGGTTTGATACATGCAGCTTAGTTGTCAAATACTTTAAGACTGGTTTATTTAGTTCTTTTGAAAACCAAAGAAAACCTAAGTGTATCACTCTTAAGCCAGTCACATCACAGCTAAAGGCCATGTTTTACCAGGGAGCCAGAAAAATGCAGAAAAGAAACAAACAAAAAATGTATATACAATGCAAAATCATTACATTTAATCTTAATGAATAATTATTCTATATATGCATCCAGGCCTCCCCCCAAAAACCCAACTTAATAATATTAATACCCCTTTAAAGGGTCATTGATAAAGTATGCGAAATTAGATGAAACACTAAAATCAATGAATATCTGTAACCGTTAACTGTGCCTACTTATTTAAAACAACAGTGTTTACACCCTAAAGTATACTGACTCTATTTAACTGCAGTGATTGGTTTATCATCAACTTATGTCATTTACAAGTCAGTAATAATGAAGTAATGGATTATGGCTTGTTTAATTTTAAAAAGCACATTATCCTCATTATCTGCTGGAGGAGTCACCAGGTGTGACTGCCCAGTGAATGGATTAACACAGTAAGATGCAGGAAAAACAGACCATGTAGTCAGAGAGTAACAAAGAGCTGTGAATAAATGTTGATGGTTACAGGCCATTTTCAGTAGAGTGCCTTAGAAACATTCATGATTACGCTGCAGATCTGATGTTAGAGTTTGTAATGATATGATTTCATGACCCCCAAGCCCCACAGCTCGGGTGTCATGGACCTGGTACTTTCTCTCTGGAGTTTGTATGTTCCTCCTGTGCCTGCATGGGTTTTCTCCAGGTACTCCGGCTTCCTCCCATAGTCCATAGATGTGTGGCCTAGGTTAATTGGCAACTCTAAACTGCTCATTGGTGTGAGTGGTTGTCTGTCTTTGTATGTCAGCCCTGTGATAGACTGGTGACCTTTCCAGGATGTACACCACCATTCGCCCAGTGTTGGCTGGGATTGGCTCCAGCTCCTGCAACCCTATACATGATACTGTAAGTGACAGATTGTAGATAATGGATGGATTTCCTCCTTTTGTCAACTTTATTTGAAATCATGGACTTAGTCATGGGTGTTTCAAAATAAATTAAGACTTTCAGTTTTTATAAGGACAAATCTGCAGCTGATCCCATACAAGCAAGACTAGAATTCAAGCCTGGCACAGCAACAGTAGCTAAGGGGCGGCAGGATTAGAAAAGAGCTACACTGTGTTATTGGCACCTTGGCGTTGCTTTCCACTGAACACAGTTAAGTGTTGACTGGAATACTTAGTTGGTTCTGGTTGTGGGGAAGGGTAGCATAATGCCTGTATCTGCACCCCTGCCTATCCCATGATGCACCTAGCTGACAGGTAAATAGTAGCAGATGGTAACTCCATGTGGCACAGAGAAAGCTCATGGCTGTCTACTCCTTTCTCAAGGTCAATAGTGGAGTTAGAAGTGACAATGACAACCACTGCTGTGCAGATTTGACTAAGGTTTCCAAGTTATGATAAAGACAATTGATTTGTTAAAGAATGCTTGTTGTTTTTGTTAAATTGTGTAATTTATGATTTATGATGTGGTTTCTAAATCTATTGGCTTCCCATATAGGAGGCTGAGACCTGCACTCTTCCACTTGAATTTACACCTCAATAAGTGAATTATGTCAGGATGCCTTCCTCTTGATGGGGTCTAAAGTTGAGTGAGCCTACAGCTATGTTTGTGATGAACAGAAACTATTACTGACAAATACAGTACAAAAAATCCTTAGCCACAACAACAACAACAACAACAACAACAATAATAATAATAATACTCTACACCTGCCTAGATTTTGAGGAAGCTTGTTCATATCTGACCTCAGACCCCAGGTCCAAATAACAATTTTACTGTAAAGTTTAGTGTAAATGAAAGGGCATGAAGCAGAGCACATTACATACAAATACACTAATGACCTCCCTACCAACCTGATACTATATCTGCGGAATTAAGTTCATATTGGAGTATTCCTCATCTCAACAGCGTTCACCCTGAACTTAAGGTGCCTCCTGTAGGATGCAATGCCCTCTACATACATATTGCAGAAGCATGTAAGAAGGCAGGCTGAGACAAAGGTAGGGATTATTTAGGTTGCCTGCTTAGCTCGAATAAACCTGAGACACCATGAGATAATCCCTGTAAAGCTGCTGATAATGTAACTCAGTGTAGTAAATCTGCTGTTTCTTATTTATAAAGACCTAAAGTTTAAAACTTTGGCATCCATATTTTATGACCTGATGTTTGAAATGAACTCATTATGACAATACATTTCCATGCATGCTTTTATTTATCTACACTAATTTTTTGTATGTGCAATGTTTACAATTTTGACCAACTTCAGAAAGTGACCAAAATAGAAATTCATATTGTGTTAATATTATATTAAAATTATAGCATGATATTATATTATAGATATTTTCCTATTTTGAAAATACAGTATAAAATGTGTCCCTACTGACGTAAGAAAAAAGCAAATATTGTTGCATTGCCAAATAGTTCCCACATATTGAGGGCATATGTGCTTCTGATGGCGGTGGGACTCAAAGTGAGCAGTCACATACCTGCAGTGGTCACAGATCCTAACAGTAGGTGCACTGGTGTCAAATTCACATCAACATGACAAACATGCTCCAACGCTGTTCAAATAAAAATGAGAAAATACAGTAAATACATTTCTTCTTGTAGCCGTTTATTGCTGGTCTTGCAGTTCAAATGTCCTTGAACTTTGTTTAATCAGCATTGAGGATTATTCCTGATCAAAGTGACAGTAGAAAGCAAAATGTCCAAGTGTATGAAAATATTTCTATAATTAAGAGACATAGGACACTTCAGTCTTGCTGGCAGAAACTGTAGTCTCATCCTCCACCATGCCACCCATTCTAATAGTGCTCAGCATGCAGTTACGGAACTAAGGAAGGGTAAACAAAATGTTAACATGATAAGCATGTAATGTACATGGTGGTGGGTTCAGACACTGGAAAATGAAAGTAAGATAAATTTCATACAAACCAACCTGTTTGTTCATCAGCACATAGATAAAAGGATTATAAAGAGCTGAGCTCTTTGCAAAGAAGGCAGGGATAGCTGCTGTAACGGCAGAGAAGGAGGCTCCCTTGTTCATGAAGATCCAGCCACTGAAAGAGGCATATGGCGTCCAAGCTATCAGGAAGCCAAAGACCATCAAGATGCACATACGTGTCACTTCCCTCTGTGCCTTCTGGGTGGACTCTGACTCATGCTGCTGGGCGGCAGCCTAAAGTGCATGAGACAAGAAAATATAATTAGCACTCACAGCACAGATAGTTTAGCAGGGCTTTAAATGAACTTAACTTAAACTGTGCTTACTGCTTTGACTGTCAGCACGAGGCTTCCATAAGAAAAGAAAATGATGGAGATGGGAGTGAAGAAGTGGATGGCAAACATGTACATGACGTATGATTTGTTGTTGTAACCTGGGGCCAGGGTGTAGTAATCAGGACCACAGGAGCATTGCATGCCTTCAGGAATGTACCTGAATATATGAGATTTAAATTATTATTGGGCATAAGTAAGATTTAAATCATCAAACAAGCTTTTTATCTACAGGGTCTAATACCTCAGGGCTCTGCTTTTACACAGTCAGTCTCTTAAGTGCTTATAAATCCTCACTGTCAGGTTTTAAAGACTAAAGGTCATATTTATTGTAAGAAAACTAATTGTGAATTACCTTGACCAGCCAAAAAGTGGGGGTCCTGCACATGACAAAGCCATGATCCAGGTGAAAATGACTCCAGCTACTGCATGAGTTCCAGAGAACCTGAAGCTTCCCATGGATTTGCAAACAACAATGTATCTCTCAATAGCCAGTACCACCAGAGACCAGAGAGCAACTTCACCTACAAAGAGAAAAACAGAATGTTTCAGTTTGAATGGAAAGAGTTTTTGTACAGACATGAGCTTCATCCCTAATGTTCAGTGTATTTTATTCATTGTCAGGTTTTACAAATAGCTTTTTCAGATCACCTTTTATACAATTAGGCCTTAAGTTAAATGAACACAGTTGACTTTATACCTGCAAGTGTAGCCATGAATCCCTCAATAGCGCAGAAAGTGGCTCCAAGAATGAAGTAGCCGTTAACAGCAGATGTGATGGTGATGGTGAATCCAAAGCAGCACATGATGAGTCCAGCCACAGCCAGGTTGACCAGAATGTAGTTGAGAGGTTGCCGGAGCTTCTTGTTCTGAGCCGTTACAAATAATGTCAGACCATTGATTGGTAGCCCAGTGCAGATCAGGAAGAACATGTAGAAAGCTAAAAGCTTGAACATGATAGGATCAGCCAAATAATACTGTTGGTATTCAAAAGGACTTCTAACGATCCCTGTCCTGTTGGACATAGGGATGTAGAAGTTCTTCCCCTCTGTGCCATTGGGCTCAATTCCTTTGTCCCAAACCATCTTTACCCACCAGTTGTTCTGTTGAGCTTCTTGACCTGAAGAACCTAACAGTGTAGGGGGGAACGAGAGTCGAAGTTATGTGTTGTGATTTTTATACCTCTCCACTAACCCCAGCTTCAAATGGACAAAATAGGATTACAGGATTGTGATGTAGCACAGCAGTTTAAAGAGCTCAGTAATTAATCTTAACACTGGATAGAGAGACCAGGGCCCAAAAGTAAATTGCTCCTGTTTCCAAGTTCTGAGGAATCCTCTCAATCATGATTAAAAAATAGGAATTAAGTTCAGTCAACAGCTTTTAGGACACAGTAAAATTATTATAACCAAGCAAATGCTTCTGTGCTTATACCTGCAGGCTGACTATCTTGCATTTGAACTGCTAGCATCCGTCTTCATATGGAGGAACTGTAGGTGTCATCATCCTCATTGGATTAACTTCAGTGTCTCACCTGCAGTGGCCTGGCTGTGATGTGAAAGAAAACCTCTTCTCAAGACTTATCTAATTTGTTATCTTATTTAAACTACCGCACCACTGTTAGTGGCCAAGAACGTGCAGTATCAGATATTGCCTTGCGCTTAACTGAAGTGAGCCCATTTTAACCGGAAGGTTTCTCCACACAGTGGGCTGCATTTATAAGAAAATTCGCATTGCACTCTTAACTATCAAACAGTAGCTACTGGTACTGATACTTACACCATCAGCCATAACATTATGACCACCTGCCTAATGTTGTGTATGTCCGGTAAGTTGTGAGGTGGAGCCACCATGGATGGGACTTGTTTGTCCAGCACATTCCAAAGATGCTCAATTGGATTGCGATCTGGACAGTTTGGAGCCCAAGTCAATACCTTGAACTCATTGTTGTGTTCCTCAAACCATTCCTTAACAAATTTTGAAGTGTGGCAGGGCACATTAACCTGCTGACAGAGGCCACCATTAGGGAATACTGCTGCTGTGAAGGGGTGTACTTGGTTTGGAACAATGTTTAGGGAGGTAGTAACGTCAACATGAATAACAGGACCCATGGTTTCTCAGCAGAACATTGCCCAGAGCATCACATCACCCCAGTTTGCTCGTCTTCTTCCCATAGTGAATCCTGGTGCCACCTCTTCCCCAGGCAAACCATAGACCATATACAAACCCAATGAATGCTACATTTCTGTTATGATGTTATACCACTCCCTTGAGGCTACAGTCATTATATGTAGCCCTAATATTATAGGCATATGTATAAAGTAAAAACCCTAAAATCAAATAGAATTAAATGTTTAAACTGTTTGGAAATGGTATGATCCTTAGTTGGAGAGCTTTCAGGTGATAAGACAGGTGGATGTTGCCCTCTGCAGGTGTGTACAAAGAAGTGAAAAATGTCTGCTGTCTTGGCATCAGCAGTGTGTCCAGCATGTTGCACATTCTGCTCCATTTGAAAATAAAGTCACGGCTGTTTCATGTTCTGTGGGGGATACAGACACAATCTGCGATAACTGTTACACACCAGTCTATGACAAGTTACAACTCACAGGGGATTAATTACATATAAGTACACCCTTCTTCCATACCCGACGGGCCATCTATCTCATGATGTAGCCCTTTATTTCCTGCTGGTAACCTGACCCTAATTGTTATGCTGTGGACACACACACTGTAATTTTCTTCAAAGCGCCTGCTCTGGACACCTGCATGTGCTTAGTGTCTCTGTCAGGGGGCCGGCAGAGATGAGCTTCGCCTCTTTGTTCTAATTGCTCAGATCAGATAGACGCTACAGTACATGCAGAGGTCTTAATAACAAACATGGGGATGCAGTGAATGTATTTCCAGACTAATGTTCACTGTGAGAAGGCAACAGTTCTGCTGGATAAACACGGTTCCATGATAAGCACTTTTGATGAAAAACTCTGTACACTATTTGTTTTTTGTCTTTTGGGTTTTTTTTAACCAGTAACATCATAATTTGAAAAGGAAAAAAAGGAAAATAACCATATGTTTAAAATTAGTAATTTTATTATTGCATTTTTTATGTGTGACTTAAATTGTTTAATCATGATGGTAGTTCTGTTGATTTGCTGCAGGTTCCTGCACCTTTGTTGTTTTTGTATTATTGTATGTAATATATTTATGTATTTTATTTTGTTGTCAACATTTTTTTATGCAAAATAAATAAACAAAAATGTTAGCAATGCTAATAGTTCTAGCACCAGGCTTTAAAGTCCAAGCTTTTTTTGAGCAAATTCAAAAAAGTGAACAATTCAAAAAGGAAATCTGAGTCTAATATCAGCTGCCACAGAAAATATAGGGCATGATTGTAAACAGCAGACAAATTTGACATTGAATCTAAGTGTCACTTTTCAAGCCAAGCACATTTCCTTTCAGTCAAAGAAAATATTTTTTTAAAAATTGGGGAAGAAACCCTCATCCAGGACAGACAGTTGCTGAAGCCTCATGTGAACATCAGATAATCTTTCAAATACATTTTTGCATGAAACTGTGTTTTTTAAAATCCTGAATCACTCGCACTGTGATGCAAGAGAAGGGGAATTTTTTGGCCTTGTATGTAAAGGAGGAATGATAACAGCTAGCAAAAGTTCCTGTCTGTGCTTCTATAGACACCTGACTATTGTTTTAAGACAGACTTTAAAAATTGTGAAACCTTTAATATCACTGTTTCTGTCCTTTTCTGATGACAACTTGAAGCCTTAAGTTTCCTGTGTAATCAAAACGAACTCACTGTCAACAATCGATTTCAATCTTCACAGGTTTTGCTGGTAGTTAGTATTATGTTATCTGTTTTAGACAGGATGAAGCAGACGCCCCAAGGGATTATCCCTCTGGCCTTTACAGTGGAGATAATCCCGATACACAGTGTGAAACATGCTTTAATGTGTACTTTGTTGTCTCCATGCGAGTCATCAGTGATTCCTTGCTCTCCATGTGTAAGAAAAACCATGGCAACAACTGCTCCACAGTGAATACAGTCACTTTGACATCAGTCACTGCAAATTACAGTATCTCTGAAAAAGTTTGCATAGTAAAATGTCAGGGCACTGCAAGGAAAATGAAGTGCACAACCAGAAATGAATCTCAATACCTTATAACAACAACCTTCATCAGCAGGTAACATACAATATCACCTCCTGCCACTGTTTATATTTGGACATGTACTATAAATAATATAAGGATGGTAATCATAAATTGTGAAAGTATTGTTTTAATGGCCATATAGTGCAGAGGGCTGTGACAATAAACATTTAAGAGTGAGATGGATTAAATGCAACATGATATCTTCAACATAATTCATATACAAATACTGTATTTTCATATATTAAACATAAAGGATTCTTTAAGAATGTGGGAGTCTTCTTTTTTGACATAAGTATAATAAAATGATAATATATATATAATAATAAAAAGGGAAACACTGAAATGCCACAATGATTATAATATCAGGAAATCCATCAATAATGACAAAGGGAATAAATGATACAATAAATATTTACATTACAATACATACAATAAATATTTATAGCAAGAACTGCAGCACATATTGCACCTTTTTCCATTAAAACATAATATAAACCAACATATGGAAATCTTCTTAAAAATATTTTTTAAAAAGAAAAAATAATGAGTGAAATGACCAGATTTAGTATTTATAAGGAATATACAGAATAATTTGGTAATAAATGGTTAATAACACAGTAATGTTTTATTATCAGCAGATATAAGAATATGTTTAGTAAGGTATATTGTCTTCATTTATAGCTCCTCCAGTGATGGCATAGCATATATTATTTTACTACTGTATATTGTCATTCATTATTTGTTTATACAGCCTCTTCTTGCTATTGTATTTGATAACCAATTGACAATAATAAATACATATCCACTTACTTATTACCTTATATTATAAATGCTTTATCAGTTGTTTATTTGTAATTGCAAAATAAATGCTTAATTCTGCAGCAATGACATGCGCTAGCAGCAGGGCTACCACGTATTTTAAAACCTGATGTGTTGCTTTTTGTGGACCTGGCGTTTTTCTTCACTAATAGACACTTGTAGTTATTTTGTATTAAAACATACTGAAATATATTCTCTAAAGCTAAGAAAAAGGTCTCTGGTAAAGCTACAAATTAAAATGTAAGATTATAGTTATCCAGCTTTTTTTTTCTATGATTGTGTTTTTTGTTGAAATCATTGTGCTACTGTTGTTTCTGGTAATGTTTAGTAGTGGTACAAGAATGTTTTTGAACAGAATGGTTTTAGCTATTAATAGGCAACACTGATGTATTTAACATTTTAAAGCAATTTATTAATTTATAAAATGATATAATTACATCCCCTTTTTTATTTCTCCCTTGCATCACCCACTAATAATGTGTTGCATTGTGTTTAGACATTATATCCAGATACAGTTATTTGTTAGGGTAGTTTTCATTCTTTCTGCATATTACTACAGGAAATGTGAAATAACATTACTGTATATTACTCTAGTACATGTAGCTCAACTGTTTCACAATTGTAGTGATATTTGTTATTTTGTCCTTGTGATAACATCTTTAATGAATAAAAAATATTTTGTGTGTGTGTGTATTTTTTGATTCTACAGTGACCTCTGAGATGTACACAGCCACAGGAATACCAGCTTATTGCCAAATATCAATGTCCAAAACACAGAAATGCAATTCAAACACCAGCAGAGGCTTAAGGGAGGGCCTCAACTCCAAGTACATGTACACTGGTTTAGCCAGAGGAAAGAACAAAGAAAGAAATATATTACATTATTACATTATGGCCACCATGTGACAAATAGTTGCTGCTGGTGTTTGCGGTTAATGAATAATTATGTATTCATAAACTGAAATGACAAGATCACATTGTCATTCACCTTGTACAGCATTATCAAACACCAAGTCAAAATCACACCTCATTGACAAATATCATCGGCCCTTGTGAAGCCACCCTATTCTCCCTGTCTGAAATTTCAGGTTTACCAAGATTTGTCTGTGGTAAGCTAAAGCTTATTTGTGACTGGTTGAAGCTCACTTGTTTGTGGACCCCCTTTGACTGATTGAAGCTGTCTGGTCTAGTGGGTTGTGGACTAAAACCTTCGTCTGGCTGCTCAAAGCTGCTCTCACTGTAGAGCCGCTGTCGCATTTCACTGGAATGTTTCCCGGACGCGCTCCTGGTCGGGTATCTCTGACCTGTCTTGTACCAGCCTGTCTCTTTGAAGACAAACCAAATATTTCCAACCCAGAGGATGACATTAACAAAACCAAAAAGCTGAAAGTAGAAACAGGGACAAAAGTAAATGACATGTTTTATCCAGTTTTGTGTTATAGTGTTTCATTTATGTGAACACCTACCACAGACGTATTAAGATTTGACCAGACGGGCTCCTGGGTTACTGTGCATTTGTTCTCCTGAGCTCTGCAGGCTGAGATGAGCAGGAGCACCTGTGTTGGGTTTGTGGCTGACTTGATATCAGAAAGACTTTTGGCCCAACAACAACTGCTGACCAGCCACATGAAGGAGAAGATGACTGTAACAACAAAATCCTGCTCAGCAGAGCAGATGAGTGGGAATGAGACATAAAGGGAGAACATCAAGTACAGGAGAAAATATCAGTTTAATGTGTTTTATGTCATACAAATACAACATTATCACTACAGGCTGCAAAGCAAGGACATTAGAGGAGGAGATACAAATTCACTGACCACCAGTGGGCCTCTGTTGTTTTTCAGGTATGTATTCTGGTAGAAGACATACACGATGGTCGCCAGCAGAGAGTACAGGAAGGCAAAAACTCCGATAGTCACAAAAAACTGAGCAGCTGCAGAAAAATCACCATCCAAGAAGATGATCTCTTCCCTTTTTACCTCACACAAGGAAGTCTTGAAATGTACTTGTTGTAATCTACAAGACAAAAAGCCTCACAGTAAATGGAATAACAACTGACTGACAAGTGAGGACGTTCACTCTGTAGGAAACGTGTCACTTTAGCCACCCACTGTTCACTGACACTTTGAGTGCACTTTCATTAGCAAGCTTGCGGCTAAAATAAGTAAGGTGCTTCAAGCTCAAAAGGCAGAGAAATACAGCTGAGACAACCCAGTGGTGTTTTATTAAAAAGAAAAAAGAAAAATCTACTTTCCCAGGAGAAATCTGTGAACACTGCCACATACAAAAACTTGTGAAGAAGCTGTTCTGAGATAAGATAAGTGATTCTGCAACTTGGCTTTTTTTGTCAGACAAAATGAAGCCTACTGTAATGACATGTGGAAATGTAAAATAGTCACTTTCAGACAGTTGCAAAAGGAGTAATTGTAAGAGAGGACGCACACACCATTTGGATAATTCCTGACATTGGCAGGGTTTTCCAGATTATTTTTTACTCCTGTGGTATATGGTCTGTGGAGTGTTTTGTTTAGGTTTTTGGTCTTATAGCCTTTCCAACTTGCTGTATGACAGAAGTGAGTTTGATAACTGTGTCACTGTAACAGCACTGACATAACTGTAGCTATAGGAAGGTTTCAGTTGTTGGGGCAGGTCACAGTTTTTATCTGCTTGTTTTAAAAGGGCAGTAAAACATAGTCCTGTGGCAGTCTTACCATTTGGGAGAAGAATACAGTGCAGTGCATTGTTTAAAACACCTGCTCTGACCCAGTCATTCCTGTTGAAATGTAAAAAGTATTGTGATGGCAACTGGTTGCAGCACACTGTGGCAAGGAACATACATTTGATAAAAGTTCAGGGAAAATGTGACTGTGCTGCTTTTATCTGTTATAAATACAAGAAAACTGCCAAATTTAGATGCTTCCATAATATTTTATTATCATTATCGTTATTGCTTCATCTTGTATCAGTCTGTGTGTAACACACACACATTCAGTGTCAAGTCCAAAAAACCATATTTCAGACTTTTGGTCACAAAACACGGTTTACACTTCCTTTAAAAATTCTACTTTATTGCATTAGAAACAGTATAAAATTTGAAATGAACTGAAAACTGCTAACATTTGAATGGAAACAATATGAATTACTGTACCATTTACTATATAGCATGGAGTGTGTGTGTGTGTGTGTGTGCGAGTTCACAGATACAAACCCAAACACAACCACTCATCACTCAAATGAAATAATAATTTTGGCACATTGCACTCTAAAATATTAAAACTTGGAACTCACCCACTTATTGGTGGAATACAGCTCAAAATTCTGCTACAATAGTCCACTTCAGCCATTTAATTAATTAAGTTTAAGATTTAATGATTCAAACACTATTTTAAGATATACAATAACAACTCTGAGTTTATGTGTTTCTATTTCACAGTTGTGAAATTAAACTCATAAACATCAGTCCTTTGAGCAACTCTTTTGACAAATAATTTCCAAGTGCAATATCTTTTAATTCAGAGATGATTGCCTTCTGCAGTTCCACTGTGTGTAGTGAAACATAATGATATTTTATTGCTGCTCCATATGAAGAAGTATTTGCTTCAGTCAAAATAGCAACAAGGCAAACAATCGGACGAACTCTTTTCTCATCCTTCGAAATGTAGTGTTTATACAAAGATGATTGTGTGTGCATGCAGGTCTGCAGGAGTAAAAGTAAAACACAAACAAGAAAGATAACATGCTTGTCTTCATATCAATGGATCACTACACAGTTATATGAAGTTGCAGGTACATGCTGCAAAGAAAGTTGTAGCAATAAAGTGCCAGTAGCATCACAAGCGACCGCCAGAGGTTAAGTCTTGACTTTCATCTAATGATGCCGTGAAACGTTTTATATTCTGGGGTTGGGTCAGCTTCCTGCTCGGCTGTCCAGCTTCCTGATCTTAAAATGGGCAAACTTCAAGAAGGTACAACTAATCGCTACTGAGCCTGACAACATGACGAAGTAGAGCTGTGCAGGTTTAAAGGTTAAAGTGCTTTTTGTCTGGCTGACCACTTTCCTGAAATGTGCATACAGACATGTCTGGTTAGCCTGAAAGCAAATTTTGGGTGTCTTGTAAAACATTCTTTTCAGCCACATAAAGAAAGATCATCATTTGTGAGTTAACAACTGAATGATTATTATTTTCTAATATGCATTGTAAATACAATATATTAATAATCTTAGTGTATTCACAAGTGAATTATCTATTGAGATGAAGGTCAAAATCAAAAGCAGCACAGGAATTGAATGCTATATATCTACGTATATCACGGGAGCTTTTGTGGAATTGCTCAGCTTAAAGGTTATGCTTTTGAAACGAGAGGTGAACATGATGTCAAAGAAACAACAGCGACTGTACCTGAAAGGGTAACCAAAATCAATGTTGATGCTGAGGTTACTCTGCCTCCTGTCTGCACAGTCCACTTTAACCTGGAGATGCCCATAGTATCCTCCACATGTGGCAAACGCACAGATGGCAAAAATCTATCAAAACAAAAAGTAGTAAGAAAAGAAGCATCACAGCCATTCACTGGCTTAATCCAGTATACGCTCTTTGACTGGCTTCTTGTGTAATGTCTACGCATCAATAAATTACAGGACTGATTATTAAGACTTATAATTGGTTTGAAAACAAAATGTGAATAATTTAAAGGTCGGAAGACAACTAACAGAGCTTCTTACTGTGCGCTGGAGGGTGGTCACAGCAGTATACTGAGATTTCATTTGTAGATGTAATAAACAATTCTGAAGTGTCTCATTCATTTTGCTTTTTGATATAAAGAAAGGGGAAATTTACTCTATGCCAACAACCTTGAATAAGATGTTCTTTACTTGTAAGCATGTGCCACACGGTGCATTGACAAACTGTGCTCATGCTAAATCGGACACGCATTTCATCAAATATTTTTCAATGATCAAATCACAAAATTGATCAAAACCTTCAAGATCACACTTGGTATTGTTACTCACACAATACATTTGTGCATTACAAGGGAAGGAAAGCAGAATTCTTTATAAGCAGAACTGGACAGATATGTGAAGACACAACTACACAAGAGAAATGAAACTTACCGGAGCAAATATAACCATACACATTTAAAAATCACAAATCCAACTCGACGCAGTGTCGGCAGCGCTTGTCATGCGGGTTGTAATGCCACTGATGTAGACAGGAAAAACAACAGGGTGACTCTTGCACCAGAGGGGAGGGCTGACAGGAGATACCTTCCCCAGGGAGGAGTCTCAGACTTTCTGTGACTCCACATTATTTGCAAACACTGTAATAAACCATAGAGCCCAAACCTGTGTAAAAATGAACACCGATATGTTGTTTATATTTGTATTATACTGAACAGAAGATTCATTTTTATTGTAAGACCACGACATGTTCTTCTATTTATAATATAAATGAAAATAATTTGTTGTCCAGTCAAAGCATTTCTTTCTAAATAAGGCTGCATTAGAACTTGAAACAAATGTAAATATTTGTGACAGAATTGTCTGCATGTTAATTATTTCCCCAACCCAAAACAATAGTGGCTGCATAGAGTTGTTCTTAAACCACAAACCTTTGAACTTGTATTACATGTGCTGTTTTGTGCCAGGCTGATCACATTTTGTGAATTTATGTATGAGGCCAGCTCAGCGCGGTGAGTATTTACTCTTTGCTTGGGTAGGGTGGAGGGGAGGGTTTGGGATTTAAAGCTCAGGTCAGTTTAAAGATTCGGCAGGGGTGGCACCCAGTAAATGTATGAAGGCGTAGCCTGATACCTGCTGCAGTGATGGGTCAAAACATCATTTACCATTAATACCGGGCTTTCATAGGAATGTGCACCCAGTGTTTGGAACATTTACCTGTGTATTAATAACTATTTATCATACTGAAGCCAGATGAATATGTCTTGTGTATTGCCTTATTTTTTTTGGAACAACATACTTCATGATATATGTGAAAGTTTGTAGACCTTGTGTTAGAATATTAGGTAGACATAGAAGTGTATCTGTAATTTAGCCTAGCATCACTGATATGAATGAGAAGGACACAATAATAGAAACCCCCGTCATCATGCAATACATTTCATCACCACCACAAACTTCAGCTTCCAAAATGATCATACAGTCAAATCAACATTGTTGCAGGACTTTTGGTATTAGAGTGCACTAGCTTTAGCTAGGTGTCCCTAATGAATTATGTATGTGTGCCTCCTTGGCATTTGCAAAGTTATTAAAGGGACTTTGCTGACCTCTTTTGGTGACAAATCTATATTGCAGATTTATTTTTAAACAAGGATAAATTCAAGGTTGTGCACATTACTGGGGAAAATGAATGATGTACTGCACTGTGACCTGGATTTTAGCTATAGGATATATCAAGTGACTATTGCAGACTGGTCTGGTTTTGTGCATCACAGCAATAATTTCACTTTGTGTTTTTGAAAATAACTGCTCTTAAATCCACAAAATATAATAGTTAAGTATCAGTAAAGTTTCATAAAATTCAGAATTTTTGGGGTCAACTGATTTATTACAGGCAAAGTAGCAACATTATGACATTTGTAAGAATTTCATAACTTAAAAGAGACACACAACGTGACAGTCACAAAAGAGACATTAAATGACTGAAAACAGAGGAAAACATAATTTCTTGATTATTCAAATAATATATTTTTATGTGGATTTTTAAAAATAGATCTAATTAATAATTTCTTTTGCTACCGCTCCACCCCTGACCACACATTATGGTACTGTGCACTGAAGATGACTTACGATCACTTTAAACAAATACAAAGTAAAAAAGTTTAAACTTTGGCTTTAAGAGACCAAGACAAAAAGTGACCAACCACATTTAGTTTTTTGTCTGAGAAACAATAGAAGTTTGTGCTGGTGGAGATGAAAGCAGTGAAAAGAAAAGACATTTAGTGATGTCTTGAAATAAAATCTACAGGAAAGTAAAGGTTAGGTAGACGAACTGCTGTTTCCTGCGGTAAACCGTACTCATTTCCTGTTTTCTGTATTTGTGCTTGCTTCCAGATTGTTTAGGAATTAAACTCACAATTTTCTAGGTTCATCTGAATTTTTGAGTGACAACATATGCTTGCACCACTTAAAGCACTTGTTTTGCAGAAGTTCTTGCTAACTACCAAATTTAACTTGCTACTTTAGGTCGGCTAGTTTAGAAGCTAGCTAAGCTAGTAGCTTAATCGAGAGCAATGGCTTCCCCCTCTTCCTCTCCACCTTTCTCTTGCTCGGCGTGTCGCATGTTCAGTTATTCCTCTGCCTCCTTTAGCGATAATGGTACTTGTAACAAATGTCAGATGCTAGCAGCATTGGAGGCGAGGCTCACAGACTTAGAAGCG